CCCAGCCCCTGAGCCGATGCCCCAGGCCACACCGGACAGTTCGGGCCTCCCCCTCCCTCCCCCGCCATGTTCCCGGGACCCTCTCACCCCGCGGACGCCTCCCTCCTCGGGGCGTCCCAGGGAAAGGAGGGGCGACCGCCGCCTGCGAATATAAAGGCTGGTTTCCCATGATGCCCTGGGCTTATCTGCATACGCCTGTGAGGCCCCGCCCACCGCGCCTGAAACTGCTGAGTCAGCACCTCCCCGCTGGGCGGCCACGTGCAGGTCCCGGCGCCATCTTGACACCTGTCCCTCCGGTCGGGGACCGTTCCAGGCGGCCCTCTGGCCACGGTTCCGGCACCGCGGCCGGTCCCTCCGTCCCTCCGACCCTCCGGTCCTCGTCCCTCCGTCCCTCCGTCCCTCCGACCCTCCGGTCCTCGTCCCTCCGTCCCTCCGACCCTCCGGTCCTCGTCCCTCCGACCCTCCGACCCTCCGGTCCTCCGTCCCTCCGGTCCTCCGTCCCTCCGACCCTCTGACCCTCCGTCCCTCCGGTCCTCGTCCCTCCGACCCTCCGTCCCTCGTCCCTCCGACCCTCCGTCCCTCCGTCCCTCCGGTCCTCCGTCCCTCCGACCCTCCGGTCCTCGTCCCTCCGTCCCTCCGACCCTCCGGTCCTCGTCCCTCCGTCCCTCCGACCCTCCGGTCCTCGTCCCTCCGTCCCTCCGACCCTCCGGTCCTCGTCCCTCCGTCCCTCCGTCCCTCCGGTCCTCCGTCCCTCCGTCCCTCCGGTCCTCGTCCCTCCGACCCTCCGTCCCTCCGTCCCTCCGACCCTCCGACCCTCCGACCCTCCGACCCTCGTCCCTCCGTCCCTCCGACCCTCCGGTCCTCGTCCCTCCGTCCCTCTGTCCCTCCGTCCCTCCGGTCCTCGTCCGCAGCGGGTCCCCTGGCCCCGACCCGGCGGGCCTCATCCTTCCCGCTCCCGTAGCGGGTCCCTGGTGCATCTCGGAGACGGCCGATCGCGCTGCTTCCACTTTCTATGCATCTCCCGCGCCTTGGCTCCCTTCCGCTTTGAAGACTCGCTTAAAAGGACATTTTTGGGGAAGATTTACTGTGAAAGCAGCTTCGGGCTCACAGCGAAGTGGAGCGGGAGGGACTGGCCCGGACGGGACATGTGCGCCCTGGGCGCGCTCACCGCCGCGGGGCCCTCTGTTCGCCACGGGCTTCCCGGGGCAGTTGGGCGAGTTCCCCGCCGCCTGGGAGGCCATCCCTGGCCGCCATCTGGAACCGGAGCCGCCTCGCTGCCCCTTCCGGTAGGTAAGGCGCGGTCCTACCGGCCGGCCCGGCCTGTGGCCTCGCTTGGCTTCGTTACCTCCTGCCCCCCTCCCGCTGCCGCCACGGGGCTGGGGCGCCACCCGGAGTCGGGAGGGAGGCCTTCGCGGGGCCTTGCCCGGGAAGCGGGGTGTCCACCGTCCTTCCCGCTCGGCAGAGTCCCCCATGTTTGTGGGATGAGTGGCTCCGGGGGCGGGGGCGGGGTGAAGCCCGACATCGCTCCAGGCCGTGGACTCCTGGACTCGAAGCCACGGGCCGTTTGCCAGCAGCGCCCCCTGGTGGTTGTCCCGCGGGGCGTGGACCCTGGGCCGGCACTGCCCCGCCCCAAACTGTCCGGGTCCGCAGCCCGCAGCCCGCAGCCCGCCCCCCGCCCGGCGCTGCCTCCTGAGCCGGATCCTGGGTCCTCGCCCCACAGGGACCCGGCCGGTGGGCGAGGCTGGGCGGGGCGTGTCTGTGTCCGGGTGGGGTCCCAGCCTCTCCCCGGGGAGCCCCCCACCCCGTCCCTCTGAGCGGCCAGGCCCTGGAGACGCTGGTGGGTGTGAGCACGTGCGAGGGTGCGGCGTGCTCGCCGGGATGTGCGCCTGTTTGCACTCGTGCCGAGTGGGTGCGAGTGGGCACCTGGCGTGCCCGCGGACGCCCCCCAGGGCCTGGGCAGGTGCCTGGGTTTCGGGGTGCAGGGCTGTGTCTGGCTGGGACGGACGGGAGGCCCCGACCCCCCGCTGTCATCAGGTCGTGACCTTCCGTTTATGATACTCCCAGGAAACGGCGCTGCCACGGCCCACAGCACTGCCCGGGCTCTGCCTGGGGTCCCCGTCCCCATCTTTGTAAACGGGGCTCTAGGGACGGCCACACCCGTTTGGGGCTCGCCTGTGCCAGGCCCCGGGACAGGCCGTGATCACACAGGTGCGCTCACCTGCAAGCGGGCGAGGCCAGTGAGGAGAGGCCTGGCTTGTCCCTGAGGGTCTCCGCCTCCAGCAGCCAAGTTCCTGCCCGGCTGACGGGCCCCAATCGCTGGGTGCAGCCGCTCGGCTGGGCTCCAGTCCAGGGAAAGTCCCCTGAGAACCGGAGAAACAGGGTGTCTTCTCCAAATCCGGGCCCTGCATCCCGCCCAACGGCTACCCTCGGCTGCAGGAGCTGCCGCACAGCCTGGGGGCCTGATGCTCGCCCGGGGCGTCTCTGCCCCGGGACTGGGGGGAGGCCCCGCGTGGGGGGCAGGGCTGGGCAGCCTGCAGACGCCAGACACGATGCTCATGTCACGCTGAGAGGGTTGACTCCAGGGTCGCCTGGCACAGCTTAAAACGCCAGCTCCTTAGCATCCAAGCTTTTCAAAGACATCAGCAACGTGGGAAAGTGACCCGCCGGCCCTGGGTTGGGTCGGGCCCTGGAGGGCGTGGCAGATGCCCGGCGCGCCCGCGGGTGAAGCCGAAAGTTCTCCCCTTTGGAAGTGGGGACTCCAGGCGTCCGGCTCTGGGGACGCTGGGCTGCACGGCGCCCACATCCTCCGCCCGGGCCTCGCGGCCCTCCACGTCGGTTCAGGTGTCTCTCGGTGACAGACAAACTGAAAGTTTAAAAGTCAACTTTATGTCCATGGCTCAAGGGGCAGGACTGAGGTTCTTAGAAGACGTCGGCCTGATTCTAAGTTTTTACCTAGAAAACCTGTAAGAACGAAGCTATTAAACGAATGCGTGCAGCCTGCAGCCTACGCTGCCTGCCCACTCGTGAAGCAAGCCGTGTTCCCAGGTGTCAGGACGCACTTCGGAGAGGAGGTCATGAAACTGTTTCCCGCCACACGTGGGGCCAGGGCCTGGGCTCAGGGTTCCCTTTCCGCCCGGCAGCCAGTTCCGGACCAGAGTGTGGGGAGGGCCCTTTGGCCACCCAGGCGCCGGTCCTGGGCGGCACGGCCATCTTCTGGGCCAGAACTGTGCCCACCTCGCTGTGGGGCAGGCGGTGCTTGCGCCGGGCACTTACACAGAAACCGCTGGCCTTCACGGCAGTCACCCCATCCCGTCCCAGCAGAGCCCCTTCCTCCTGGCGGAGGGGCGGCTGTGCCCCACGAAGCTGCACCCAGAGACGAAGTGACCAGGGCCTCGCCGGGACACGGCCGACCCTGCGAGGCTCCCCGGGGACACGCGCGGCAGGCGGACCCCGGGCTGGCCGTCCGGAGCTTTGCTGGCGCTGGCACCTGGACCCACCTGTGAGGACAGAGCCACCGGGCGCGACGGGCAGAGATGGAGACAGAGGACTGGCCGCGCGGGGACCAGGTGAGTGACAGACACCGCAGCCTGTTCTCTGCCCACAGGAGGGGAACTTGGTGCAGCCAATGCCAAGAGTGACCCACAACCCCCCCCCACGGCACCCCCCAGAGGAGGCAGTCGGCACCCCCCTCTGTGGGCTTGTCCTGAAGACGTGCTCGTGGCTGGCAGACAAGGACGGAGGGCGTCAGCGTCCATCGCCAGATCATCCTGACGGTGGGCAGACAGGAGCCGTGCCAGTCACGTGGCCTTGGTGACTAATCCCAGCTCCTCGCCAGCACAGCCCGGGCCAGGAGGGCTGGTGCGTGAGAAAAACTGAGAGATCGCCTGCTGTGGGTGTGAAATCGTGCTGGAGGGGGTGGGAACGCTTTTCCTTTCCAGCTCGCCTCCTCCAGCTCCTCCCACACGGATTCCCAGGACCCTCCCCTGGACCAGCCGCCCTGGAGAAGGCCTTCCTCCCCCGGCCCCGGTCCAGCCCGGAGTCTCCCTGGGTCAGAACCGCTGGTTCCGAGCTGCCTCTGGAGCCTCCCTCGTCCTCTCCCCAGGCTCGGGCTGGAGGAGGGTCTCCCAGAAGGGCCTCAGGTCGAAGGGCGCATCCCTCCGGACCCACCCACCCTGCAGCTAAGTTGGGGTGAGTGTCTTCCCACAGAAGGTCCTGGTTCCCAGGCAGTTTGGGGACTCGGAGGCAGGCAGCCAAAGGCAGAGGTTGATGGGTGTGACGGTTCCATCGGGGCCCACGCGTGACTCCTGTGGCAGGACGAGGGCATCTGAGGATGGTGTGGCTAGAGAGGCTCTGACCTGGACGGGCGGGAGCTGTAAACACAGTGCAACCCCATCACGGTAGTCGGTCCTGGGGAGGAGGGAGCAGGCTCCCACAGCCCTCGCTCCCCCAGCCCCGGCTCCCCCCAGCCCCGGCTCCCCCCCAGCCCCGGCTCCCCCCCAGCCCCATCGTCTCCCCTAACCCCATATCCACCCAGCCCCGTCTCCCCCTCCAGCCCTGTCTCCCCCCAGCCCCATCTCCCCCCAGCCCCGGCTAATGTTTGCCAAGTGACACAGTCCAGCAAACACTAAGGACAGAGGAGGGGGTATTTGCTGTCAAAGTCGAGGGGGCGCCAGGCCTCTGCAGGTGAGGATCCCATGGGAGTGGCTCTGAACCCAACACTCAGCTCCACACACCCCGTGCCTGGTGGGGTCTGGGTGCAGGCCAGGCCCCCTGGCAGCAAAGCACCGCAGGCCCCACTGGGCCTGGGAAAAGCTGCATTGGCTCAGACCCGCTACCCTAGGCAGACCCACATGCCACTTCCTGCCCGCCCATCTGGGCCCGTCACGCAGGACCCCCTGAGCTCAGAGGACCAGACAAGGGGGGGGGGTCTTGCTGTTTGGGGACCAGAGGGAGGCCAGGCCCAGGGAGTGGGTGGGAAGTGGGGTATAGCAGGATGGTCAGGAAGGGTTGGAGTTGCCTCATTTGTTTCAAGGACAGACATGACCTCCTCCTTATGCCCCTGTCGGGGGGTCAAGACCACAGCCCACTGTGGGGGTTCACCCTCAGTAGGGGGCATGCAGGAGGATTGCTGGTTCCTGGTCAGTTGCTGGCTCAATCCTCAGTAGGGGGCATGCAGGAGGCAGCTGATCAATGATGTTTCTCTTTCATTGATGTTTCTTTCTCTCTATCCCTCTCCCTTCCTCTTTCTCTAAAAATCAGTAAAAACATTTTTTAAAAGAATCAACCAGCCATAACCGATTTGGCTCAGTGGATAGAGCACCGGCCTGCGGACTGAAAGGTCCCAGGTTCAATTCCGGTCAAGGGCATGTACCTTTTTTGCGGGCACATCCCCAGTGGGGGGTGTGCAGGAGGCAGCTGATGGATGTTTCTCTCTCATCGATGTTTCTAACTCTCTATCCCTCTCCCTTCCTCTCTGTAAAAAAATCAATAAAATATATTTTTAAAAAAAGAATCAACCAATGAATCCTGTATAATAAAAGCCTAATATGCAAATCAACTGAACGGCAGAAGGACAGGGTGCTATGACGTGCGCTGACCACCAGGGGGTAGATGCTCAACACAGGAGCTGCCCACAGCCCCAGGCCAGCCAAGGCGGGTGACAGCAGGGAACCCCTCGATCACCCCGCCAGTCACCCCACAGGTCAGCCCTGATCGCTGGCCAGGCCCAGGGACCCTACCTGTGCACAAATTTTGGGCACTGGGCCTCTAGTGTATAAATAAGTAGAACAACAAATTGCTGCTTCTCTCCCTTCCTCTTTCTCTCAAACCAAGAAATTTAAAAAATACATTTATGCATCAAATAAAATAACTTCCAAATAGATTATTGAATATTGCTAGAATCACAAGGAGAAATGTTATTTATTGTTGTTAATCCTCACCCAAGGACATTTTTTCCATTGGTTTTTAGAGAGAATGGGAGGGAGGGAGGAAAAAGACATCAATTGGAGAAACATCAATGGTTGCCTCCTGCACTCACCCCAACCGGGGCCAGGAATCGAACTCTCGACCCTTTGGAGCACCGGCCAACACTCTAACCACTGACCAACACAGGCCAGGGCTACAAGGAGAAATTGCTAATCCCCTGTCCTGGTGAGATTCCAACCCAGCCTCAGTGACAGATACTGAAGCTGATAGAAGCCACGAGTGTGTGCGAGATCAGCACCCCTCACTGACCCTGACCTGACGGGACCCCAGAGCTCGCTTCAGCCATCAGAGGACAGGAGGGGGTGCAACAATGGATGGGGTGCAGGACCGTCGAGGCACAGAGCTGCAGCCAGTGAAGGGGGATGCGGAGGGGGAAGACGGGGCTAGAGGAGGTGGTGGCCGGGAGCTTAGGTAGCCATGGCCGCCCTCCTGCAGCATTAAGAACAAGCTGCTGATGGTGCGTTTGGTTAACAGGAAATCCTGACGGAAATCTGAGAAATCCCAGCACTTCAGGAAAGTGAAACTGCACACGTCGCGTGATACGGCTGTGGCTCCGGACAAACAGGGAGACGCCCGAGAGGCAGGTGCAGGCAGAGGAGCCTCGCCCGCCAGGATGAGCGCCCGGCGCCCATAGCCCAGGAAAGGTACCCGCGATGGATGCATGTGCGTGTGCGTGTGCGTGTGCGTGTCTGCACAGGACATTCCTGCTAAGTGACACGTGCACGAGGGAGCGACACAGGAGCCCGGTGAGGCACCAGCTGGTTCACGCCCTTCCAGGACCAGGGGTTTGTGCGGCTGCAGAAGGAGCCGGTTCCTTTTTGGATTAACTGCTTTACCGGGGCCTCGAACCCGCGGCACCTGGTTGTGAGGGACAGACAGCCCTCCTGCCTGAACAGCCCCAGGGACTTGCCCCAGCTGAGCGCTGACGGAGGGGCCTCTGCTGGAGGGAAGGGCGGGCTGATTTGGGAGGTGGCCTCAGGGACAAGCCCCCCCAACCGCCCCTGGGGCCTGAGAGAGGACCTGGACGGCATTCTGGTCCCGGGGCCCCTCTCTAGGGCCTCTGTGCCCTGGGGGGGCGGCACGTCACGCTGCACAGGTGCTGGGGGGGGTCCTGTGAGGACCCCGCCTCGTCCCATCTCCCAAGGCCAACCCTTCGGGACACCGCGGGGGACTGTCCTTTCCATCCAACTGCCACCCTCCACTCTCTCTCTCACCCCCTCCTCCTCCTCCTCCTCCTCCTCCTCCTCCTCCTCCTCCACGCTCTCGGAGAAGCAACTGGGAAAACACCTCCGGGAGGATTAACAAAACGACACCCACCTGCACGCCGAGCGCAGGGCTCCCCCAAAACCCCTCCCCCCCCCCGGACCCGCGGGGGCCTCCAGGGCCTGAGCGCACAGCCTCCCGGCGCCCGAGGGGGGTGGGGTCGGGGGTGCCCCCTGTTCAGGGAGCACCTGACTCCCTCCCGCACGCCCCGGGCACCCCCAGGGGAACCCAACCGCATTTCCCACAATCCTCAGCCTGCACGGTTCTGGGGGGCGTTTCCCGGCGCCCCCTCCAACGCGCGCGGGAGATGAGACCTAATGCGGGACTCGGTGCCAAGAAGTAACGCTTTCCTTCCCGGTGGCCTCGGCAGTTCCCGCCACTCCCGTGACTTCCCATAACCGGGGCCTCCTCGCATCTGGGACTTGGGGCAGCGCCTCCCGGCCCTGGAGCCTCACCCCCCTCCTCCGCCTCCGCCTCCGCCTCCGCGCGGCCCCGCCCTGGAGCCGCCAGTTTTCCTCCCGTCCCGGCTCCGCGCAGCGTGCAGACCAGCGGCTGCGGGACATCGAGCAGGCGCGGGCCCGACGGGCAGGTGAGGGGCGCACGGGCGGGAGTGGGGCTCGGAGGGCGGGACGCAGCTCCGCGTCTGGAGGGGTTCCCTGGACTCTGGGTCTCCGGAGAGTGCGCGCGGGACTCCCCTCTTGCCGCCAAGACGGGGCTCCCAGTGCCGGGAGGGGAGAGGACGGAGCTGCCGCGTCGCCGTGGCCGGCTCTGGGGGGTCAGAGATGTGCCCTGCGCCCCGGGCACGCCCAGCGGGGTCGGGGCGCACACTCGGGCACGCACCTGCGCCTACACTGGTGCACACGCACGCACGGGCACTCCTGGGGGTGCGCACACAGCACCTACACTCACAAACAACCGTGAGCCGCCGGCACTGCCCCAGCCAAGGGGGTGCGTGGGGCACACTGCCTCTTTCATGTCTGAGTCCAGCCCCCCCACGGGTGGTGCTCTGAAGAATGAAAACTGCTTTCCACGCAGGGGGGGTGGGGAGCCCTCCTGCCCCGGGGACTGTGCCGGGGGGGGGGGGGGGGGGGGGGGGGGAACCGGAATTTCTCTTTCGACAGGAACGAGGATGGGGGGACAGGGTGGCCGCAGGCGGTGGGGACCGCCCGGCAAAGGCTGTGAGGAGTTGGTTTGCCTGGGGTCCCTCCGCCTTTTTAAATCTAAGTCCGTCCCAAATATCGCAGGTACATGCTTACACCTCGCAGGCTGGCACCCCGCCCGGGACGCTGCCGCCTCCTCCCTGGCCCCCTTCCCGCCAGGGCCCGACGCCCTAGCAGCTGTTCTCAGCGGAGAAGGTGCCCCAGACACCATCAGTGCCGGATCTCCCAGCCCCTCCCAGGCCCCAGCGCAAGCCCAGGCCAGTCACTGCTGCTCGTCCTCCCGGGCTCCCCGTGCTCCCAGGTGGACACCCTCGCCGTGCGGGTCCCTGGGGTGGAGTCACTGAGGGGCTGCTGGACAGTCGCAGGCTGGTGACCGCCTCCCTGCCCAGCACCCGAGCTCACTCCGCCTCAAAGCCGCCCGCCCCTGCCGCCTGCTCCGGGAGGCCTGGTGGGTCTCGGGCCGTCCGTGTGCGGGCGGGCAGTTCGGACACATCGGGTGGCACTTGGTTTGGGCCGAATGCCCGGCGCTGGCTGAGCTGGCGACAGGGGCTGTGAGCGGCTGTGGCACCTGCCCAGGTGGTTTCGGTTTAGGGGCAGAGGGGTGTGTCGGGGTGTCTGTCTACCAGACTCTGCAGTCGTGCGGGGCCCCGGGGAGAGTCGGAAGAGTGGCCGGGGGTGTCTGGCTGAGGGCGGGCGTCAGGGCTTCGGGGCAGGTTCAGAGGGGCCCGGCTTTGAGCAGCAGGAAGGGCAGCCTGGCCAGGCCTGCCCTGCGGGAGCCCCACTCCACACCCACGGGGACACCCCAGGTCACGCCCACGGGGACACCAGGTCACAGGGACGCCGGGGGGAGGGGCCGGCACACAAACAGCACGTCTCGTGACCCGCAGGGCGTTTGCCGGGAGAGGCGCAAGTAGATAACGATGTTTGAGACCGAGAGTCCACGTAATACAGTCGTTAGCATTCAGGGTCTGCGGTGTCATGGAAACCAAGCAGGTTGGGGACCGGGAGGCGGGCAGGGCCTGGAGGCGGCAGGCAAATGCCCGACAGCAAAGGTGGCCAGGCCGGGCAGCGAGGTCTCTGGAGTTCACCCTCTTTTTTTTTTTTTTTTAAGCTTCCTGATTTCAGAGAGGAAGGGAGAGGGAGATAGAAACATCAATGATGAGAGTCATTGTTCGGCTGCCTCCTGCTCGCCCCCCACTGGGGATCAAGCCCACAACCTGGGCCTGTGCCCTTGACTGGAATTGAACAGGGGGACCCTTCAGTCCACAGGCCGACGCTCTAGCCCTTGAGCCACAGCTGGGCCGCCCTCTTCAGTCTGTGACAGAGGCCTGGCGCCTTTCTTTTGCTTTCCTTTCACTTGTCAACACACTCTCCCTGCCAAAGTCCGCTGTGCGGTCAGCCTGTGACACCCAGACACACCTCCCTGGGTCACTCGCCTCATCATGGTGTTTGGTCCGGGGAAGCTAAGGCTGACCTTCGACCTGCCCAGTTCACCTGAGGTGGCCCGTCCCCTGTGCTGGGTGCCCGCGTGGGCGTGGGTGGGGCCAGGGGGCTGCAGAGCGATCATGGAAGGCTGCACGGAAGAGGTGGCTCAGCCGGCTGAGTCCCTGACCCCTCTGGAGCTCCCAGGCCTGGGGCTGTGAGGACCCATCTGCCGTTCACTCAGCCAGCCTTTCCGAACGAGGCCTGGAGCTTGGAATACGGGGTTTATCCGGAAGGATGAGCACCGACTCCTCAGGACAGGTGTGGAGAGGGAGGTCCCGAGGGGGGTCTCCTCCCTGACTCCGAAGACCTGGCCTCGCCTGCCAGGGGGGCGCCCGCCTCCTGCTGGGCCCCCGGGTCCCGGGGAGGAGGGCACGTCCGGGCAGAGGCCCTGGCCGCCTCCGTGCCGCTGGGCTCGCGACAGGTGCCAGGCACTCACTGGCAGACACGTTGTCATGAACTGAAGGGTGGGTGGCCGCGGGCTCCTCAGGCTTTGGTTCCCTGAGGACACCTGCCCGCGCTCCGGTCTGCCTTCCCCTCTGCGGGGCTGCAGTGGGCGGGCCTGGGGAGCGTGTCTGCCCCTCAGCAAAGGGCCAGCGGGACCCACAGGTCCCACGTCCACAAGTGTGGGGCCAAAGGCTCTGCCGGGGTCCAGGCCGAGGTCCCCGGAGGTGTCAGAGCTGAGGAGCCCTCCAATGTCTGAGGCCGAAGTGGTGCCCCGAGGCCAGGGCTTCCCCGGAGACACCCATAGGGAGGGGGGGTCCCGCAGGGGCTCAGGGCCTCAGAGGCCCACAGACTGCTCTTGGGCAGAGGAGGCTGGGCCTGGGGCTGCCGGCTCCCTCCAGGCCCGGCTGGCGGCCAGAGCGGGGGCAGGTGCTTGGTGTCCTGCTCACCTGCGGGCCTGTCGCCTGTGCTGCCCGGGCGCAGGGGCAGGACGGCCGGGCAGGGTCTTCCCTCGGCTGGTGCCAGGGCTCCGGCCAGGGGTGCGGCCAGACCGCCAGGATCAGCACGGCCTTTGGGCCCGCGGGCCTCACGGCGCCATTTTCTCGGTCAGATCTTTCTGGGGTGAGAACAGTGATTCTGGCCCTGGCTGGTAGCTCAGCTGGTTAGCACATCGTCCAGATTTGCCAAGGTTGTGGGTTCGAGCCCTGGTCAGGGCACATACGAGAGTCAACCGACGGGCGCTCTGCCTCTGGGGCCCGCCCGGCCTTTCCTTGCGCTTTCCCTTTCCCATGGGGAAGGAGAAGGGACGCAGAAGTAAGTGGGCAGCAGGTTGGTGTCTCTCCCCCTTCCTCTCTCACATCAATAAGTGAAGAAGAGTCAGAAACAATCCACGCAAAACCCAGGGCCCGAGTCTAGGAGCCTCTGGGAATGGGAAGCTCTGAGGCCCTGAAAAGACGGGCGTTCGCTGGGGGCTGGGGAGGGGCCCGCACGGCGCCCAGGAGGGGTCAGGGCAGAGAACCCGCGCAGGAGGCCGCCGTGCTGGACAGAGTACAGCCCAAGACTGACCCCTGAGCCCTCAGTGGACTTTAGTCCGTGATAATGTGTGTGCGCGGCTCACGCGCTGTGGCACACAGACGCTAACACGCTAACAGAGACGCTCCTGAGGGGGGGGCGGGGAGGGGGGCTCAGGGAGTCCGACAAAACCAACGGTCGGTTTTTTATCTTTATTTTTATTTTATTATTTATTTATTTTTTAAAATACATTTTATTGATTTTTTACAGAGAGGAAGGGAGAAGGATAGAGAGTTAGAAACATCGATGAGAGAGAAACATGGATCAGCTGCCTCCTGCACACTTCCTACTGGGGATGTGCCCGCAACCCAGGTACATGCCCTTGACCGGAATCGAACCCGGGACCCCTCAGTCCGCAGGCCGACGCTCTACCCACTGAGCCACACCGGTCAGGGCTTATCTTTATTATTGAAAGAATTACAGATGTCCCCTTCCTTCCCCGGCGACCCCCTCTGCTCTGCCTGCCCCCCAAAAGTCTTCTTTTTAATCAAAGGGTCAACAAATGGTCTGACAAGCAATTTTAAAGCACTTTATTTTTTAAACATTTTTATTGATTTCAGAAAGGAAGGGAGAGGGAGAGATAGATAGAAACATCACTGATGAGAGAATCATTGATTGGCTGCCTCCTGCACGCCCCCCACTGGGGACTGAGC